TGCCTTGCTTGCAGGAGGTTCTGATGATGCTTGGGCAGATGCGGAAGATATTTCTGAGGAAGATCCTGCGCTTAGGTTTGTATGCATCACTGGGATAGGGAAAAGGGAGTTTGGACATAAGCTGACTGGCTCAGCCACTCAGTTCTGTTCTCTTCTGGGCTTTGGGCATGGGCTTGAGACCATCACCACCTTTTGAAAGAGTCTCGAATTCTAACATCTGGCTGAACCCGGTGTAACTGAAGCCTGCTAATCTATTGCCAGAGGGAAAGGCTGGAGACAGGAATACTTAGAGCTATTTTAAAAGGTGTTTGAACTGCACAGACATGTTTACTTTATCGAAAAGTACATTTCCAGGCTGGATAAATTGTTCTGTATCTTATGTGCTTGTTGGAGAACAGAGTGAGATGGGGGAAGAGACCTTAAGCACAAAGTTCACGGTGTCTGTTCATTGCATTGTCTGACTCAGACCTGTGGAGACAAGGCTTGTGCTATGCTGCTTATGTCTAGAAGTGGTTCTGGGAAGAACTGTGGCAGTATTGTGCAAAGAATCAGACTCAAATGGTCGGTCTTCCATGCTCACCTTGCTTTTGCTCATTCTGTCTTGCAGAAATGCAGATTCCCAGCTGTTTGACAAGGTCAGAGGGCACGACATCAAGCTGCTTCGATACCTGTCTGTCCGATACATCTGTGACCTGATGGTGGAAAACAAGAAGGTGAAGTTTGGCTTGAAGTGAGTCCGGGTTAATTTGTTTTTGTTCAGGGTTTGGTTTGCAGATGGTGTAGCCCTTATGTGTGAATTGCTGTCAGGCATACACTTAGCATCCTGGGAGCCGTCCCTGGAAGAGTCCTACAGCAGGATTGATAGAATCATAGAATCATAGAATCATAGAATAGATTGGGTTGGAAAAGACCTCCAAGATCATCAAGTCCAACCCCTGATCCAACTCCAATTACTATATCATGGCACTAAGGGCCACATCCAATCTCTGCTTAAAAACCTCCAGGGATGGTGAATCCACCACCTCTCTGGGTAGGCTGTTCCAATGCTT